GGTATTGGATAGGACAGCTTTGTAGAGTAACACCACCTTCGCCTTTTTTCCATTCTCTTCTTTTAATTTCTAATTTCTAACACTGCTTCTTTCTATTTTATGTTACGCTTTTCTTAGTCGGCTAAAAATAGAATAATAGTATGTTTTTACGTTTAATTTTATTTACTTATTTGATGCATATTTTTATTATTATAAACATATTATATAATATATTTAAATCATGAATTTAAAAATACTTTTGGTATATATAAAAAATTCCTTTTAATCTTTTAATGCATTTAAGTTGAGTGCATTATTGATTTAAATTTTTTTTATACAGTAAGTAATAATGGCGGAGCAAATCTACATTATTATTACGAGTTCGGTAGAACCTAATAACTTGAATTTAAATTTTATACTTATTTTTAAAAGCTTACTTAATTTGTTCAAACAATCTATCTCCAATTCAATAAATTGTCATGACATGAAATTTAAAACTGATAAACTTAAAATCTTAAATTCACTTATAGTAAGTGAAATATATTATTATAACTTAAACTACATTAATAAAGGTTGAAAAATGTTTGTGCTCTACATTCAAACCTTTTTATAACAGTCTCGTTTATTTCGAATATTGTTGGATATTATAGCAAATTGCTATTATAGAGAACATATATTATAACATAACATAAAAATTGATTCCGGAAAAGCTTAGCTTTTATAGTAAGGTATCTTTATATAGGGATGTTGTTACGGAAAGGTCTTGAAATTGGATCTATTTCTCTTATCTCTTAATTTCACTCTCACGCTAGCTAAATCACAGGGTTTGGGGTTGGGGGGGGGGGGCGGGTAAAGGGGTAGGGGGTGAGGGATGAATAGTGGTGATTAATGGTACAAACCTGCTTTTTGGTGGAGAGAAGAACCTGATGCCTTCTTTTGATGTGTGAGTGGGTGGTGCTCTTTTCTCATCAAAACATACTCTCTTCTCTACTATAGTATATCTCTTCTTTCCATCTTCTTATACTCTCCTCAGCTACTACTTCTCCTCCTAGTTATACTTTTGGTATTTCATCTTCCTTCCATTTTTCTCATTATGTATTATCCTCTTAAACCTCTCATCTTTAGTCTCACATCACAAATAAAATCAACATAGTTTGTATCTTTCTCTTTCTTTTTTTTGTTTGTGTTTTTGGCTCAGACCCTCTTGATTTTTTCTATTGGATGATCTTTTTCAGTTATGTGTGGGTTTTGCTTTAATTTGACTATGAGAGCGATTGTAGGTACTAGATGAGGTTTGAATACTGAGATTTCTTGTGATTTCATGGTCTTTATTCTGTGATTGTTTGAGGTTTCTTTCTAGAGTTTGCAAATCTGGTCTCTATTTTTAAGTTTTGAACTTTGATTTCTGTGTGGTCACTCTTCTTCTACTGTTCACTGAGACCAGCCAATAAGGATTTGATTTTGATTTCTGGGGTTTCTTCATTTCTCTATATCTTGAACTTGAAATCTAACTCCTTTTGATTTCCACTAATCTTGACCAAAGACTCAGTTTTCTTATGTAGGGATCTCAAATATTTGTTGCTAAAACTCTTTAGATTTACTTTGTTTGGACTTGATTTTGAACGTGTATTAGTGCTTAGTTGTTCCCCAAGAAGCAAAACTTGAGAAATTTTATGTACCTTTTTCTTGGGTTTGTCCACATAAAATAACGTTTCATGAGACTTGATCTACCTTCACATCTTTGCTTGTGGGTTTCTTTCTTTCCCAAAATTAGTTCTTTCCTTGTTCAATGGGTCTTTTAAACATAAATAGTTGGCTTCAGATTTACTTAGCTTAGCACATAAAATAACATTGTTGTTGACCCCTTTAGTCTTTTGTTGGTCTTTCTTGAAACTTCTCCTCAGCTTAATTAATCTCATGTTTTTAACTATGTTGCAGGCTGAATTTTTTTTTTTTATGAAGAAAGGGTAAAATCTTGGTGTTTTAGTGGTGGTGGGGTTTTGTTTTGTTGTCTGTGGAGAGAGGCCTTTAATTAGAGGCTACTGTTATGCTGAAGGCTAAGTATAATAAGGAGATAAGACTAAGTAGTAGTAGTCTTGGAAAGTATAATAATAGGAGCAGCAGCAGTTCTTGTGACTGTTGGAAAAACAGCACAAGAAAAACAAGAAGGGAGAAGCTTAATAGCAGATGTTATCCATTGAAAAACTTGCAGCAGCAGATCCTTCCCAAATCTCTCTACTGAAAAGTAGTAGTAGTGATGAGAGGCCTTCTTCTGATGATGATGATGATAAGAAGCAATTAGATCTGAACCATTTTGATGACAACAAACCACTCCCTAAATTCTCCTTAAGGTAAAAATATATCTATATATATACTCTGTCTCTTTGTCTTTGGGTTTTCTTCTTCTCTTTTTTATTCATCAGCTCTTCAATGTTCTACTGTTGAAGGGGTTTTTAGTCATCTGAAGATTTTCTTTCTTGAGTCAGATCCACTGTTCCCGTCTGATCTTTTTGATTTTGGGAAACAAAAAGATTAGCGCTGGTTGTCGTTTCCTTTCCTAGTCTTATTTCATGTAGCTATGTTCCTTTCATATGATAAGCAATTACAGACTGTTGCTTTCTGCCAATTCCCATGCTAATTTTTGTTCAGGTATTGTTGATGACATATGATATGAATGTTTTCTAAACAGAAATGTTATCTTGCAGAGATTATGTTTTCAGAAGCCGGAGAAAGGACATAAAGACCAATTGGCCATTTTCTCAGAAAAATTTGCAGCTTTGTTTGAAGCATGGCGTGACAGATTTGTTACCCCCTTTTCAATCTGTTAAGGGATGTGCTGTAGATAATTGTTCGATTGACAAGGACAATATTGTAGGAACTTTTGATCAGGAGGAGCATGTTAAGGTAGATGATGATCCTAGATGTATGCCAAAATTAGCTGCGGATTATAGAAATATCAGTTCAAGTCGATCTGATAAAGAGAAGGTGATCCAGTCAACGATAACCACTCAGTCTTGTTCTGAAATTGATTCAGTTCCAACAGCTGAAAGGAATCCTAGCTTGGGAACAGAAGCTGTTGGGAAATCTGAGGGTAAAGGTCTTTTACCTCCCATGTCAAACAAGAGCGGGAGCACAGCACAACCGCCAGCAGCAAAAAAGTGCAGATTAATAGTCAAGTTGGGAAACGTTACAGATCATCGAACCGTAGAAGAGGAAACTACCACCAGCAACAATTTCATGGCTTCTGAGGCAATGGCTTCGAAAGTATGCCCAGTTTGCAAGACTTTCACATCCTCATCAAACACCACCTTGAATGCTCACATAGATCAATGTCTCTCTGGAGAGTCAACAATCAAGTGGACAGAAAATTCTAGTAAGGTGATTAAGCACAGGATAAAACCAAGGAAAACGAGATTGATGGTGGATATCTACACAACAGCTGCGTGCTGTACGCTGGAGGATCTCGATAGGAGGAATGGAACCAACTGGGCCTCAAACCCGAGTTTGTGTGTTCGAGAGACTGAGGTATCTGCTGTTGAGAAACTGGATAAACCTCCTCCTGTCTGTCATGAATGCACTGATAATGAAGGTGCTGTTTATATTGATGCCAATGGCACAAAGGTTCGAATTCTGTCCAAGTTCAGCGATGAGCAGCCACAATCATCAAAGCTGATTAATGATCCTCTTCAGAAAAATTTGGTAGACGGAGATAAAAAAAGCAAATTCATTTTGACAAATAAGAGGAAGAAGAAGAATCATACCCAGAGACAGCACAAGCTTCTGAAATCTTCTCGTACTAAAAAGTTTTGTTTGTCCAAGCCCTATCACTGTCCCAAGGTATTTTTTCCCCATCCTAGATATGAAGAAGTTTGCCCCGCTTTGCCTTTGTTCTTGAAATCCTTTTTAAATCAAGAATATTACAAGTCATCTTTAAAACATTAAATGTAGCATTATAGTGCAGTGAAGAAGCTGCAACATTGAGGAGTGGAAAACAAAAGAATGTTGGGAGAATAATGTTACATGTCTTTCCCGGTATCTTGGCCTTTAGCTTAATTTCATGATTGTTTGTTTTGGTGGTTGGTGAAACGGAGGGCTAGATCGCTTGGTACGGGGGTGGGTGTGGGGGTCGGTGGGAGTTTGCATGTTTTGAGAACTAAACCGTAGTAGTTTACAACAAGCTTCTACTTACTTCGTTTCGTTATCTTTTATCAAAATTAATTGCTTTTACCAACTAGCAGTTCTATTTAAGAATAATTTGCTTAGAACTAATTTGCAAAATATTGTATGAACAGATTGAGAGTGGTCAAGATAGCACCTTTTCCCCCAGAGAAAATGTTGTCAAAGAGGATTGCTTAAATACGCAGCTCAGATCTCCAGAACAGGTGTTATTAAATGGATTGGGAACCATAAAACAATGGGCATGTTCGAAGAGAACTGGCCTCACAAGGAAGATCAGTGATAAGGGCAACCATCAGCGTTCTGGAGGTGTTATGTTGACTGGCGTTCAAGATGGCAATGTTGTGTTGCCTATGACTGATTCATCTTTGAAGATAAGAAGCTATCTTTACAAATCTCCAAGATCATCTGTTAATACTGTATGTTTGCCTGAGAGTAGCCAAAGAACGGGGGATGTGCTACTTGAGCCTCAAGATGAACATAGCGAGGAGCCTTCTCTGCAAAAGAAAGTGGATTTTTCATTGTCTCGATCTCAATTCCCATCTAACAAGAAGAGATCCCTTGTGTTACAAAGGAACAAAGAAAAGCATTTGAAGGTAGATGTCCATTCTGTAAACAATGGCTCCGGTGATCGTCCAAAAATAACAGTAGATCATGCACTTTCTGTGAAACATATGAGTGTTGGGAGAAATATAGATCTACTAGAAAAGGCGGATAACTCTGAGATCAATGGTGAACCGACCACCTCTCATCCAGCATTCTCCTCGAAAGATAGGAAGTTGTCATCATTGAGGAAGAACCTTTTGTCTGTCAGTGAAGGGCCTGCTCGTGGTGTTAAATGTAGCTTGAAGTGGAAAACAGCTTCCCTTAAGAAGTCTAGTATGCGCTGCATTTCAGAATCAGAAGAAGCCGTAGTTTGTCAAACTGAAGGAGAGAAACGTTGTATAAGAGGAGATCCCAGTGAAACTAAAGTTCAAGGGAGCAAGAGTTGTGATAGGGTAATTGTTAAAAGATCTAGAATTTTAAACATCAGGGAAAATAGGGAGGGAGTTATGGTTTCTAATGTGGAGGGTTCTCTGGGCTTGAAGAGCTGCTCACAGTCTTCAGCTGAGATTCATTCTGATAATGAAACTGGCAGCACTTTAGCAGGTGCGTCTGATGCTATGAGATCTGTGAAAGTGAATGATCAAACTCAGAATGACAAGACTATGGATCCAGCTGTTGCCTCGGAATTTGCTGCGAGGGGAGATTTTATGAGTTTTAGCAAGTCTTTGGATGCTGGATCTGATGAGTTGTCTGGTTCTGCTAGATCTCAGTTGTTTAGTGAAGAGTATGAAGGATCACTTCTTGGCACCAAAGCTGCAACACGTTCACAAGATCCTATTTTAGGTGTTGAAGAAGAGATGTTTAGTGCAGCGGAGATTGGGAAAAGTATGATTGATCACAATCTCCATGACGATGTTACTGAATTGGGATGTAATGATGGTCAAGGGAATTACTTTTTGGAGGTTGATCCAATTCCCATACCAGGACCGCCTGGATCTTTTTTACCTAGTCCTGGTCGTATGAGCTCAGAAGACCTTCATGGGAGTTCATCATTAACCAGCAGTAAAATTCAATCTTCTGCAGATTATCCTGAATTCTTTGATCAAGATTCTTCTGGTTCCCCTACTTCTGCTGCATCAACAGTTTCTAACTCCACTATGGCTAGAACTGGCTCAAGATATTCGGACAAGTTGTCTGGCGATGGAAGGGATTCTTCTGAAAGTCTCAGTTGTCACACAGCTGGCTGGGAAGATAAAAGGTCTAGCTTTTCTGGCAGCAGTACTGTTGATCTTCTGGTGGAAAATTCTGTCACTCGACTTCAGACAGAAAATACAGGAGACGATAGGGATGGACTGGACAAATTTAATGCAAATACATTCTTTCCTGGAAAAGGAGCTTTCAGATTTACAAATGATAAGCCATGTTGTTGTGTCAGGAAAGAAGGAGCAGCCCAAGAGTCACAGCTCTTACAGCGAAGGGCCATGGCACCTTCCCCTTTTCCTGCCAGTGAGAATCAGTTGAGGTGTGATTCAATCAGAAGACCTAATAATATCAGTAATTCATTTTCTCTTAGTGACTCGAGTTCAGGACCTGAAACAAATGCCACTAAACCATCCACTGGACATACTCAATTTGGAGTTTCTGCTGATTCTGACTTCAAGCTCCTAACTCGTGATTCCGAGTCTTTTAGTCCATCTGCTTCCAATCCAGTTCTCAGGCTGATGGGAAAGGACTTAATGGTGGTCAACAAAGATGAAGACTCCCCACTGAAAAGATCATCTCACTCAAATTCCATGAATGACCTGGCAAACACTAGACTTGCTGGTGTTTCTTGTGGCAGTCTTCGTAGTGAGGATCTCTACTCCTCTCGCCAGGTGGATGCACATAATCGTCTTGTCTCTCACTTGCCTCAAACTGGTGATCCAGTACAGCATTTTGATGTCAGATTGTTAAATGGTTTCGAAAGTCGCGACAGTTACTCAAGGCCACAACAGCTGTCCCCTACATCTCCAGTCTCGATTTCATGCAAGAGTAGTGGTGGCGGATTGATGGGTTCCGTTGGCGGACAAGACTATTTAGGAGGGTGCAATTTACGTACTGTGCTCAATGGACCAAATGAGACATGTGATGGAAAGAAGTTCGTGGCAACTCCCATATCTCATTGGCAAAATTCTACTTCAGTTGGGAATGCCGTCAAAGAAATTATTATAATTGATGATTCTCCAGAAAACGGGGCTGATTCTGCATACACCATGGGCACGGGGAGAAGCAAGTCGTCAACTGGTATCCAAATGCAAATGATCAGCTCGGGCTATACGTCAAAGTTTGTGAATTTCTGCGAAAATAGACCGTGTGGTTCTCCTTACAGCGGATCTGGAGTAGCTCAGAATGCGAATTTGCCTACTCAAATGAACGAGATTCCTGCTAAGTGGAATGGCAATCCGGAAGGTTGTAGTTTTGCTCGTCCAAGCTCTTTCTCGGCTTCCTCATCACCTGCAGGTCCTTTTAGATCATCATCTTTGTATTATTCTGCCGGCTTTTCATAACCAAGAATGTTGCCTTGCATGGGCATTTACTCGCTTGACAGACAATAGAAACCTGACGCTTACAAAGCATAAATATAGCAGTCTGAACGAAAACACACACGGCACGTTTGAGCAGATGAGTTATTCTAGATTTGCTGGTTTTGCTTTAATAGCTACTTGAAAAACTGAAAGTTCCATAGAGATCAAAAGCATTTTACTGAGGCCAGTTCGAAAATTCCCTGGAGTCCCTACTATGTATAAAAGTCTTTGAATAATGAGTTGTTCCGAGGATATGAACTTCCAAAGTGGTTTCTTCTTAATATCTTTCTTTTCCCCATTTAAAGGTATAATTCTCCTCTATGATAGTACTTTGCTTCTAAGAATAGTCTAATACATAGAATATAACTTTGCTCTTTTAGAATGAGACTGTTCTCACATTAGTGGGTTTTAGATATGGATTTAACTGACAGCGTAAAAGGATTTTGACAATATCAGCGGATTATATGTAATTATCTTTGGTATACAAGTCATTATATACTGTCAACGTACATATAGAAGTTAAACTAAAGAGATACTATATAATAGGATGGACGTCAAAATTGAAGAAAATCAGGAAGTTTGAATCTGGGATAGTCTAGTTGAATGGAGAGATCAACCAGAACTACATACACAGAATATTACAGGTTGTAAATGGGTTGTTTATCTATGAGTCAGTGGAAGAAATGACTAGTAGTAAGTGGAACGATAACAGCTCATAAGTTGCCCTTTGCATGGCTATTATACAATTATCTTGATGTGACATGCATTCACTTCTCCGAGCATTTGCACGTTTGATGGTGAAACATCATATCCATCTCTTCTCCATTATCATGCTTCATGTTTCTGCTTCTATGTCAAACCATCACATATCTGTGCGTTTAGATCATGTTATTTTTCTCATGACGTTCGAATATCTTTATATTTCATGTGGGTATACTTGTTAGAAGCCAGTAAAAAAGAAAAAGCAAAGAGATGTTTATATACTACGTTCATGGAGAAAGATGAAATAACTAATTTTTCTTTGTATATTAACTTTTATGCTTGGAGGAAGAGGGTTTTGAGGGAGGAAATCAGGATTTGAAATTTAATTCATAGCTCATCTTTAATGAATTTCCTAATACAAATACAAAATTAAAGCAAAAAATATTGTCCGAACCGTAACTAATAATCTAGCAGGTGATCCTTGGGGGTGGTTTGGGGAGCATAGTGTAGTAGTAGTAGTCCTTTGCTGTTGTTGCAGTGGTGGTGTACGTGTTCTGATACTTTGTATTATTGCATGCAGGAAAAAAGGCAACTCATACACGCTCCTTTATGTCTCTTTCTATTTCTTCTGGGATTGTAATGTACAAATACCCCAATATTAGGTAGTATTAGTTGTCACTTGTTATTATATGATAAGTATTTAAATTCCATATAGAGAAAAGGGTTCCAAAATCCTAATTCACGCATATATTAGGGTTTCTCTAATATTACTGCATATATCTACGTGATTTTTCTTTTATACTTTTCTCATTAATTAGTCTGTTAACCCTTGCTTTCTTTTTCATGTAGGATAAGTTATATTCTTTCCATTTCAATTTACGTTGCAAAAATATTATTGATAATGAAATTTAAGAAATAAACGACTTACATGTTTATCATTTCTGTGGCTATAAAAGTACATTATTAAGGGTAACATGATAAATTTAAGTTAAATTGTTATTAAATTTTAAAAAATATCATTATTTTAGAAACAGACTTAAAAAATTACACTACCACATAAATTGTAATACAAAGAGTATGCTTTCCGTAAAAAAAATACTATTGGTATCGTGGAAATTAAATAGTAATAACCATAATAATCCAAGTAAGTGGGAGAAGTCCCAAGTAGGGGGGGGGGGGGGGTAGGGTTTGTTAGAAGTGGATGATAAATATAGCCGTTGCAGACTTATAGCAAAATGAATTACTTACGTTATCACCAATTAAGTGAATGTACGACCAAACTTGTGGCTGTCCCTTTACACACTCCGCTGGAAGGAAGGGCTTAGTCAAAAGTAAACAAAAGAAAAAACAAAGATGACTGGTGTGAGATGTTTCTGTGGAAAAGTGGGTCCCCCTAGCTAGCTAGTAGAAATATATAATACTCCCTCCGGTCCAAAATAAGTGATTTTTTAGATGTTTTTACACAAATTAAGAAATTCACTTTTTAGCATTAATTAGCAATGGAATTGACCATATTAACCTTTACTATCTCACATAAACACTCCTAATACATATTCCAACACCATTTACTTCAAGGACAATGTAGGAAAAAAATAATTAATCCATTCTTGAAATCTAAAAAAATCACTTATTTTGGACCACAAGAAAAAGGCCAAAAAATCACTTATTTTGGACCGGAGGGAGTATGAAGATGACCAGGTTGTCCTGTGGTTTATATCATCGATCACTATACTAATTCATCGATATTGTACCTTGAATTCCTAACCGAAGGTCTATTTAGTGCTGTAAGTTTGTGTTGGTTAAGGATTTTGGCTGAAAATATCATAACGATCAGATACGAATGAAATATTTGCTGCCTAAGTAGAAACAATGGTATGGGTTCGCGGGCTTAGCAAATTATATTCCTCTGTGTGAGAAAAAATTAAACATGACACGATCTACGTGACATGAATATATAAGCCAGAGCCCAGAAGCATGCATTTGATCGATCCTAGAGGAATGACCCTAAACAATAACGATTTTATGTAATATGTTTACCCAAGGGCGGACCTAGTGCATAGACTACGGGTTCCCGGGAACCCAGTAACTTTTGCGTAAACCCTGTATTTATATTAAGAAATTCACTAAATATTGGTAAAAATCTGACTGTGAACCCAGTTATTATTGCATATTAATTTGAAATTATGGTAGGAACCCATAAGCCTCAAATCCTGGATCCGCCTCTGTTTTACCGACTGTTTTATTGAATGATGTAAAAGGTTGACGTCGAAAACAAGGGCAATTTTGTGAGGAATATTGATCGTGAATACGAAGTTGATGATGCTGCGATATATATGGAATATGCATGGTATATTTTGCACGGTAAAAGTTGGTTGATAACTTGTCTTCTAGTTTTAATGTGCCCTACAAATTCAGCTCATCTCAGTTCTCACCACCACGTTTCGCATCTCTGCAACACCAGAAAAGAATTATTATGGGACCAACTTTCGCATCATCACTTTCTTGTTGTCATAATAAAGAGTTACTCCTATCATTTGTTGTATAGCATTTACATTTGGTTAAGTAGGACACCAATTTAATTAGGTTTTCGTTCTAATATTTATTTCATTCCGAACCTCTATCTAGATTCTAGACTAGAGGCCTTTGTATTATTGAATGAAAATTAAATAACCAACGTGGCATTGTATCCTAAAAAAAAATCTCTTTATACCAAGGAGCAAATCGAATGTCTCAACTCCAAATATTGATTTCTAAGCACAAAATATTTTGGGTGAGTAAGAATGCAGGTAGTCTATCTAGAGATTCTAGTCTTGTCTCTCACACCACTTGAATGCAGTGTGTGTTGTATTTTAATATGCTACACCTACTTGCGTTAGTTAATATTAAAGTAGTACTATTAATATAATTTGATGTGTCCCATTACTTTGACTTTCCCTACCTATAATCTTTAAGAGCACAAAAAGATTAACTTTCCCTTCTAAGTTTTCCCTCAATGTAAGTATATTTACGTAAAAAAGAGAAAAGAAAAAGGTTGACGGTACGGTCTTTCTCCTTACCCTAACCCATTTTATTTCACCCTACTTCTTTTTCCCCTTTCTCCTCCAAATATATAGGTTCGAAAAAAAATTAAAGGAGTATTTTGGCCAACGCATCAAACGTTTTAACGGTGTCAAACTTTTTGTTAACTATGTATATAGTGTTTTATGTAATACTTCATATGAAGGTGGAGGTCTATTGAGTTTTGTTTAAATTAGAGAAGCTTTTTAAATAATCCATTCTATATTATACAGTGATAAAAGGAGAAAAATTTCCATTTAATAGAGTAATATAAGGTTACTGCTACTAGAAAGAGAAGTCGCTCTCTTGCCAAGCCGTCCATCAATAAATTATAGTATTCCGTAGTGGGATACTAAGAAAGTTTGGCATTGTGGACCACCTTCACAAATGACCTTTTTTATTTGAGATTGTTATTTAAATTCCTTCTGCATTATATTATGGGTTAAATTTGTCCATAAAAAAAATTTCATCGACTTATTTTTTAAAGCCAAAATTTAGCCAGCACAGCATTTTTTTTTTTTTTTTTTTTGTTGTTGAAGAAAATAGCCTTAAGAAAAGCCATATTGGTTAGGGGGTGATTAACAAAAGAGGAATAGCAACGGCCAGGTTATTGAGTGCATATTATTTTAATCCAAATATTTCTTGTATCAAAGGTGTCGAAATATAATGGCACTATGTTATTTGAAGAGTCAACTATACACCTTTTACCGTTGACTACAAATTACAATCTAAAACACATGAGGCAAGCAGAAGGAAATATAAAGCCTTTGGTCGAGCAAACAATTCTTCAAACGTTTCTTACTATATAAGTTATGATATAGAGTGCTTAGTTATTATGTCCTATCTACTGTGTCATAAATATTAATTATTTTAATAAATTTTAATTTTGTTCAAAAAAAAAAGTCGTTTATGATATGCTTTTAAATCTATGTGTAAATTATTGATCAAGTAAGATGTTTAATGAGAAGTAAAGAGTAGTTTAGACACAATTTTGATACTATAATTAAGATTTATTAAATGTATGTATAAATCTTAAAAAGACATATAATATGGACGAAAATAAGTTGTTGTACATATATAAATTTTACTTTTTTTAAAATTAATAAATTCGTTTCATCCAAATTCATGAAAAAAAAACTAAATGTTAATCCTCGTACTCCATCCGTTCATTTTTACTTGTTCATTATACTAAAACTACATTTTCATTTTACTTGTCCACGATACTAAATCAAGAGAAAGACAATTTCTTTTCCATGTTTTATCCATTTCATTAATTGCTCATTTTTAAAATTATTTCTCAAAACTTGTTGAAATACTATCATTATTAGGGGTTGTATAGTAAAATACATAGTATAATTATATTTTTTAAGGGATATAAAACTTTTTAAGTGGACTAGTAAAAATAAACGTAAGTATATCGCTCCGCTGACTCAGACTCCATATTGTGGTGGACCTCGACTTCCGTACTTCACTCGCTTCCTATTCAAGTGTTTAATTTTCTTTTGATTTTACTATTCATTGAATTATTTTATTATTATT